TCGTAACTAAAAAAGTTGCCACTTCCATTGCAAAAGTAAAACGATAGTTTACTTTTCTATCTTGTAACACGTTTCTCCCGAAAAGTAATTTGTCAATGCTGTCTCGCGTTGCTGCTGGCTGTGACGACACGAGAAATAATTTGTTCCCTCTACCGTTTCGCCCGAGTCATTATTCATGAGCACTCGACTCCTTGCGAATAATGCAACGGTGTACAAACGGAAAAAAAGAAGAAAAAAAAAAAAAGAAAACGCTTTTCGACGAGGCAGCAAATATCCCTTTAAATAAGATTCACTTTACTAATTCTCTCTATCTCAGTAATAATACGGAGTATTTTAAAAATTCTTCAAAATTTTCACCGTGTCGTGCGATCGATGTTCCGTATATAAATCCATATAAAATGATAAAATTACACAGAAATCGATGAAATTCGGATCGATGGACTGTTGTATTTCTTTCGAAGGCTCTAATTGAAACCAGAAAAAAAAAAATATTGAATAGAAATTTTTCGACAAGATAGATAGATAGATAGATTCGACACACGAAGATGGATAAAAAGAATTGCAGAGATCGAGGAAACCGATAAAATTTAGATTTCGACGTTGATCTCTAATTGAAGAACAGAAAAAAAGAGAATTTGGAGAAAAAATTCTCACGAGCGATTGATGAATGGAAAAGATCGCAGAGATCGAGGAAACGAGGAAGCGTTAAAAAGGGAAACGACTAGCCGATAAAATTCGGATCAGAAGGAGGCGTTGATCGCGATCTCTCTCGATTCTAATTGAAAATGAAGAGGGGGAGAGAAGGGGAGAAGAGAGAAGAAAGCATTTTCGATAGCTTCGCGGAATCCTCGTCGAGGGAAGAAAACGCGTTTGTTCCATAAATAGAACGTTAACGTTTAACAGGTTATAATGCCGGTGCATCGATCGTGAACGCCGAAAGGAAATGTCGGTCGACGTGTATCGAGCTTGCTTGCCGCTAATTAAAATTCCCGTCCACTGTATTAACAGTAATTTCGTGCGTTTAATAATCGTCCTGCGCCCGAAGCGCTATCTTCTCTCTCTCTCTCTCTCTCTCTCTCTCTCTCTCTCT